TTATATCTCGCATGCCCAACATCTCTACTTTGGAGAGCCTTTTCAACAAGTACACCATATATGGCAACTCCTCGTGAAAATCTCAAACTATCACAGTATTTTGGTCCTTTCAAGGACGTTTTTCTGACAGGACTCTAGTTCCACGGTCTGCAAATGACAAAAACAGTACTTACTTTGACTGTCAGAAGATGATTGCAGGTTGCTTATTTTTATGTAAATGGCTTACCGTTTTAAATGATGAGTCTATGCTGCAGAAATTTAACAGATATACTTGACTTTCTAACAATGATGGCCTGTTTTACCAAAACTTCAGAACTCCAACAGTGCTATCTGTGTTTTTACTATTAAAATTGAGCAATGACTACTACTTAAACATTTCTTTATTGGGGAAAACAAACAAATAACCCTCCCACATAACACCACAGAATTATTGGATTAAAAACTCACAGAAAACCACTTGTCAGTCAATGGAGTTGGGATCTGGACCTTCCAGCTGAAGCTTGCAACAGCAGCCTGCATCTTTTGCATACTTGTTCAAAACTGGATTATTATAGCCCATCTTTAATATCATCCAAGATTAATCCCTGTCCCTAGGCAGTTGTCACATCTTTTTGACAACTGTACCTACTGATCAGGTGAGAGAATTCATGCAAACCCTTCAGATATTCAGTGATAAGAGCAATAAGAACAGAAGATAATTTCAAAGAGGGTAATAATAGTACGCTCTGCTAGCGAAAAGAGCTTTCCTGTATCTTCAGTGTCATTGCAATTACTTTTCCATTTGTACTACAGTAAGAATGACGATCACCAGCATTTATAAGAAGTATCCCCTGCTGTGAATTGGATAGGTTTCAATTTGAAAAGGGGGGAGGGAAATCTAATTATAATGGCATTTCCTTTCACAATCCTTATTTGCCTGGATCTAAATATTTAATATTTAGTATTAATCTAATATTTACTGGAGCTTTTCATCTTTGAAGATACATTCAAAGATGAGACTAGAAAGTTCTACATAGCAGATCAAGCGTTGCATATTGTTAATAATAAACTCAGGCAATAGAAAAATTATGCCAAAAATACAAAGGACACTTAAAAGACATGAGATAAAAGACACATGAACTGATAAACAACACATGGACAGAATGGCATCTTTTTACAAAGTTGCAAAGCAGCAGGGTTTTTTTTAGATTGAAAAACTGTTGTATTTACTTTCATATGGTCAGCCCCTGCATTCTACTTTTTTAATAAAAGTACAGAAACAAGACTTACGACTTCCATATGCAATCTTAAAAAAAGAAAAAAAATTAAAGTGTGGTGCATAAATAATAAACAGATGTTTTAAGCGTTCAAAGTTATAAGGGATACACATTTCAGAATAAATTGAAGAAGCCACCTGAGGAAAGTGATTACTTAGGGGGGTGAAAGCAGTTACTTCTACTAAAAAAATATTAAAGCAATAAACAATTTGTAACTGTTTATTCAGAGTGAAAAAAACCGAGAGAGTTTAGCCCCCCTTATGATTCAACCTTGGTAGCCATTTAAGTGGTGACCATATTTATCAGTGAAAAATTAACTCATTTGTGAATGAAAATACAAAGTAGTCAGTAACTTGGTTATTATTTAACATATTGCAAACCCAAGTCTTGGGAAAAATAATCTAGAGACCTCAAATTTTAAATAAGATGGGACAGTTAGAACACTCAATTGGGCATAACTAGCAGGATTTTGGCAGTGAGGTGCTGCAGGAGTGACCCGCGCGGCAGGAGGTCGTGAGATGCCTTGTGCTGCTCGTAGACAGTTCTGCAGCTGGTGTAAGCACCTCACCACGTACCAGAACATCGCAGAGCCCGGGGAGCCATGGCACCTCTGCCCGAACATATTTAAGAAAGAGCAGCATTCACTAGGGGAAGGGCTGCAGCCCACGGAGGGGACCCACCCCTGAAGGGTTGCGGCCTGTGCAGGAGTCATGCTACAAGAGGGGAAAACATGCAAGAAGCAAAAAGTGGCAGAAGAAAAGCATCACGCACAATCCCACCCTCTTGTGCCACCTGCTACCTCAACAAGAGAGTCGGGACATACAGTGTTAACGTGCACTGAAAACAAGCGTAACTGAGACTAGCAAGGGGGGAGACGTCTTTGATTGAAGCTGAGCCTGGAGAAGGCAGGGGAAAAGGGTGTTGTCTTAATTCTTTAGAGCCTTTTTCTGTTTTATTTCCATCTTCTCAGTACCCGAAACGGTGATCTGAAGTTTTATGTGAACTGGCAAAAAAAAAAAAAATATTCAGTAAGGACTCCCTGAGTCAAGATTATTTGCTTGCAACACATGTTGCAAACTGGGCACCAGGAAGACCACAGTATGTCTTTTACAAGGAAAGCATGTATTTTACAAGGAAAATACATTTAGTATTTGCTTCACAAAAGACTACTACAAAAATGGTCTAGTAAAATATTAAAAAGCAAAACAAGAACAGGTTAATTTCTGTGCATATGCAGGTCAGTGAAGATGACCAAAGTTATAACCAAACCAGCCAGCAGGCATCATGCTACACTGATCAAGAATTCCTCATTTGTGATGGCCTCCAGTTGCGTCAGGGGAGGTTCAGACTGGATATTGGGAAAAATTTCTTTACTGAAAGAGTGGTCAGACATTGGAACAGGCTGCCCAGGGAAGTGGTTGAGTCACCATCCCTGGAGGGGTTCAAAAAATGTGTAGATGTGGCACTTCAGCACATGGTTTAGCAGGCATGGTGGTGTTGGGTTGACGGTTGGACTTGATGATCTTAGAGGTCTTTTCCAACCTTAGTGATTCTATGGCTCAGGAAGCCGCCAACTTTTGTGCAAACACTTCTGATTCTAGACTGACCACACAAATGTCCATTACTAATTGTTTCTACAATTCACAACAGGATTCCTAAAACCTGCTTTAACAACAACGACAAAAAAAGCAAAGTTCTACTGTATTTTTCTTCTACTTTCTGTCCAACTTCAGATCCTGTGAGGATCTGAGGAGGCTACCTATTGAACTACAGTTGCTTCTAAATCAGGCTTTGGGTGCATATCATAGCTATCACATCCTCTGATGTGCAATACAGAAGCAGTAAACCAGATGGTTTTCTGACCGGAATAAAAAGTTTTTTACTGTATATTCTTTACGCAGGCAGCACTGAAACCTGAGCATCTAATTTATGCAAAACATCCCTATTTCTAACACCACATAAAAATTCCAGAGTAGTCAGTGTTCACTATAGATATGTAATTTGAAAGTATTTTTATATGAAAATTATACATTTTACACTGTTGGCACAGAATACAGCTCATTTTCCCAGTAAAGAGCTGAATAACTATAGTATGCTTAAAAGTATTTGTTTCCAATCTGCAAAAACAAGGCAATATTGGTTGATGACAGCATAGGACATATTAAACTGCTAGACTCTTTAGATTAATATAAATGCTCTTCTATTTAAAAGCAAAACAGAAAACCCATGGTTTCTGTCCTCACTAGCTCCGTGAAGCATTAAGAGCTGCAGATGAAGTACCATCTCCATTTAGAAGGTTAGCTTTATCTCCTGGATCTGCTATTTGCCTATGCTGTTCAGACTTCACACTTGCTCTTACATGCATGCAGTTATACACAAATTTGTGTCCCAAAATTAACTTACAGGTTATAAATACCCACTCTTATACTAATTAGATTAAATACCATTAAGCAGATCAAGCTGAAACTCACTCTCTCCTCATTCTGCATCCCCACCACTTCTTGACTGATCAGTTCTTTCTGGTAAAATCTGAGTGTTACTCAGTTTTCCCTCTGGAGTATTCTTTAGCATCCCTATCAAAAACACGTGCTAGAAGAATCAGCTAGTCAAAGCACGATTTGCCTTTTTACACACACAACATTGGAATTTCAAATGCACTCATGCTGACTTTGTGGGATTTGTGCTACTCTAGCATGAATATTTTCATCATCTTCTAACCAACATCACATCTTTGCTCTCTTCCTACGAGAGACCAACTTCAAGGGTAATTAAACAATCTTCCACCCTTTGCAGATGTAGGCTAGCCGTCTCACATTTACTGCCTCTGAGGTTGGGGTCTCATGAACACTGAGTCCTTTTAATAGCCTCTCGATACTAGAAACGGGAGTATTTCTGCTCCTTCACTACTGGCCGCAGAAGTTCATTCCCCTCCATTATTCACGCTCGGGTGCTTGTCAGACCTTCTGTGACCCAAGTTTAACTAACTACACCAGCAAAAACTACGCTGGCAATTTTTCTTCTGGGTTAGTTTTCTGCCAGGTTATTTAGTTGTGTCAGCTCATGGAAGTGTCTGCCAAGAGCCAAACCAACACAAAGGAGAGCTGCTAGACTGGCTCACTGCCTCCTCAAACTGCAGCCCCGCTGTGTATTTGGAAGCCACCTGATCACAACTGCTGAAGAAGCAGCTGTTATACTTGCTAAACAGAAGAATATGCAAACAAGGCTGGGCAGAAAGTTTGTAACATATTAATAGATCTTGCTCAGTATTTTGCCCTCATTTTTATGGTACAAAATCCATTTAAAGCATATGCAGTAAAGCTTTTTATCTAAGGGGGATGGCGCGGAAAAGAACAAAACCAAAATACAGTATTTGGCAGACTATAGCTTTTCCCCAGTCCCACTTATCTACTGAGCAAATTCTGCACTAAATTAAAGTGGGGGAGGTATTTGTTGCTCCAAGTTTAAGCTGCTCACTTCCTGTATGCTTAAAGGATAGTCATCTTTGCACTATATAAACACCTAGTTTATGTCACATGTTCTTAAAACCACTAATATGGTAAAATAGAATAGGTAACAAAACATCAGATGCAATTTAAAATAATCCCTCAAGAACTGACAAAAATAGTTGCTACAAGTAATTGCTCATATGTCAGGAATATTCAAGTCAGCTGCCTCAAAAAACCCCACATAAATCATCATTTTAAAGGAAGAGTGCATAAGTTAACTATTCATTCTATGACTTACCAATCAAGATTTGACCAGTTTTCATTGCTGAACTACCTGGCACCAAGCCATGTACTACAAGCTTCTCTTCACCATTTCCGCTGATGACTTTATCCTTCCTCCCTTGTTTCTCTGCTCTTCTGCTGCTCCATGAAGACTGATGGACAACCCCTACTAAGGTCTCCAGCAGCTTCTGCGGCTCATCTTCTCCAGCACTGTACAGTCTTCTGGGATTTACATAAACATATATATCTTTGTATTTTTGCTGAACAGTGACCCCCATTTTCTGAGCGGATTGGTGTTTCAATATGGAAGTAGGACCAGTGGAGTGCGCAGTGCGGCTTCCACTGCCTTTTTTACCAGAATGCTTTGGTAAAAGATTCTTCTTTTTTAATATTTTGGTCAATTTCTTCAGTTCATACTTTCTTTCTTTTTGTGATCCCTCTTGAATAACTTCAGCTTCCTTTTCACGAAACCTGACATGATTCACTGCTGGCATTTCTGGATAGTTGTTCTGAAGCAGAGTTTCTTCTTCACTTTCACTCAATTCTAAATAAAATAATTCCCCATTTTTCTGCACACCATCCAACCATTCAGGCTCAAGGTCACTGGGAAAGAAAGAAGAATTATCAGTGACAGCTCTGATAAGGAAGACTGCTATGCAAGTGACATCTGATTACTTCAAGTAGGGAGGGGATAGGGAGGGTGCAAGGGTGGGGTGGAGGGGGCAAGTGTTGCCTCCTGACTATTGAAAGCTCAACTGCTTTAAGTTTGCCATGAGGGTAAGAGCTCTTCTCAGACAAATCACGGACATGGCAAGGAAAGGCATCTCTCCCAGATGTTAAAAGACTTTCTTTAAATGCCTTACAGGAAAACAGCTATTGCAAAAAGCAGTATTCCCTTTTCTGAAAACAAACAAAAAACCCCCACCCCCAAAGCATTTCTTTCACATTCAAGTTTTAATTAGTATTTACATTCAAGGGCACGATGGGGCTTCCTCTTAAGAGAAAAAAGTGCCATCCTATTTGTTCTCACTCATTGTTTTTTCCCTTATGCATTTATAAGACAGATGGTACTGCAAGTCCTTTAGAAAGGTAAGATTAACATTTTAAAAATCACCTCAATATAACCAAAAAAGCTGAAGATGAAACCTAGGTAACACTTTTTAAAACAAATTCAAAATTGCATACTTAAGCTCACATGCAAAAATACACAACAAAGTAGTAAACAGGCAGCACTAGAAAAAGGTCTAGCAGCTAGAGTGGATCACTTTAAGACACTAGTAACAAGCTGCTGCAAACAAAAGGCAAGGCAACTATCGGATGTATTAACAAGAGTATTATCTGCACAGCACAAAACATTTTTTGTCCTAATTTGGCAATGGCGATGTGTCAACCGCGTCCAGTTTTGGAGAGTACATTTTAAGAAAGATGTAGTAACTGGAACAAGCCTAGAGCACAGCGACAAACCATTGTACTTTTTTGGCTGAGTAAAAAAATCAAAGAAAAAACGATAGCTGAGAGGCAACAGGCCAAATGGTCCACTCCCTCACCCCAAGATGAACTACAGAAGGATGAGGATCAATAGTGGGCAAAGCAGGAGTACTTAGTGGTTTACTTTACCAAAGTATTTAAGCCAAATATTAAGAGAGCTTTTTGATCACACACACAAAAAAATCAGCATTAGCAGGCAATGTAAGGAACATCTGGGATGTTCTGTATGGAAGATTTTCAGGAACAAACAAGACCAGTTCATTCTTCCTGGCTAGATGACAAAACAGGTCTCCCTTTCTATGAACCTGAGACCACACTGATGAAAATAAAATAGGGAAAAACTAGAATGGAGACTTACATAATAATTAACATAATTAATTGTTTAAAGTTAATATGCATTCACACACTTCATACTAACTAGCTCATTTTTCTGAATAATGGATGCAAATTTTGTTTAAAACTAGTATTATATAATTCAAATAGAGCACTAATTTGAGTACACAGATAAAGGATACAGCTTCAAAGTTTAGCTGAACAGAGAATGTTATACACTGCACCACAGCACCTTTAAAGGCTCAAAGATAGGACCTGGCTGGACTACGAATATAGGAAACACTGGCATTACTCTCTTCCTGGAACCTCAATGACTTAAGTCTATGGATGCTGCAGACAGAAGAAACATCATGCACTTACTCTACATTTATTATTTTGCCCAAGTTGATAGTTTTAAAACAAGAGCCACCACTTGGGAGAATTTGGCTATTCCTGATGGTCACGGGTAAGTCAGAGTTTGCATCTTTTATGAAGTCTTACTCAAAAATTTGAGTATCTTAATCAAGAAAGTATCAGAATGATAACAACACCTAAAGACTGTTAGGACCAGACAGTTATCTGATCCAACAACTCTCAAAAGGTGGTATGTAAGAAATAACATGACAGAGTTTTTCCTTAGTTTGTTGTTTGTTTGTTTGTTTTTTTAAAGTACTCCTGCATTCAGATACATGTAAGCAAAATTGGGAAAACACAAAATTGATAAAGAAAACATCAGAAATTTACAAAAAATAACATTTGGGTTAGCAGAAACTCCTGTAATATATGACAGGCTTTTAATTCCCTCTTTAAAAGGGATTGTGCTTTTTGGAAAAGCTTTCTTCTTTGGGGTAGATGTCAAAATTTCAGCTTGGATGCCAATTCATAAACTCACGTTCTCCAGCTTCGTCATCTAATTTTATTACAACCTACTATATGGACCAAGGTAAAAAAAAAAAAGGGTTGTGTGTGGTGTTTATACTGGGTCCACTCAAACAGAAGCACTCCAGAGAGAAAGTTCGTCAAGGAGGAGCACATATGGCAAAGTCACTCTATGCAAATAAGCTGATGAAGTCAGAAGACTGAAAAAATGTCACAACATCATGAATTCGTCTCCTTGAAGGCATTCTCATGAGTGCAGGGTAAAGGGACTATCACTTTCTGTATACAGATCCATACAGACATCTAAAAAAAGAAAGAAATCTGCACCAAGAAATCTGCACCTGGGACGACAGGTTTTGTCCCTAATGTTGTAGTTGCACAACTGATTTAAACCAAGCTTAGAAAAAAAAAAAACCAAACAAAACAAACTCCTTTCCATATCTCTTCCTGTGTGCCAGAACAAGCACTTCCACGATAACCTGAGTTTCTATACAGGTCTGGAAGCTTCAATCAAGGGATCTAAAAATCTGGAAGACCCGTATTCCTCTAAGAGCTGTTTCACTAATCCCACACAGATATTTCTTCTTTGGGACAAATGTCTGAAAAATTGTGCCAGCTGAAATTGTCCATGTATAGAAGAAACATATACTAGGAATGAAGGATCCAAGCTCTGATTCTGAAGCAGGAGAATACAGCTTTTACCTAAGCAAGCTCAGAAATAATAAACAGTTAACATCCATGATCCCTGTTTTCAAGCAACCAAAGAAAACAACAAATCAAGGGTTAAATATTTTACTGCACTGTATGATTAAATTCCGCCCATATGATACTTTGCAGAAGTTAAGACCACAGTCATCTTTAGTTTCCCCAACCTTCGCCTACACAACGACAAAGTACAGCTTCAGACAGAGGCGTCACTTTGGTATATGCAAAACTGCCATCCACTTAGTAGCTACGGCTGCCTAGAGGGGTTCTGATCCATCACTGTTAGTGAAAGTGACAACACATGTTAAACTCTGTCAAAATAGACAAAACTATCACACCCCCCCCCAGTACTTTCACAATGGCATATGTAAGCATTCACTTCACAGTTCTCTCTGAAAATAGGCCTTGCACAAAAGCATGGGGCTCTGACAAAGCAGCACCCCTATCTCCACCCTTGCGTGAAATGTTCCTTGGTGTATCTTGGTTTGTACACGTTGGCTGTAGTATCAAGCAGCACGGTCTCAACTGTGAGAATTTTATTCTGGAAATCGGTAACTTTTAATTCAGAAAACAATTTCCAAAGTTTTTCTTTCTTTATTTCAACCAAATATGGCTGATTATAAAAGCACACACAGATCATCTAGAGAAGAACAGATACCATTATCTTAAAAATGCTAACAGACCTATCTTTGTACCTCACAGAATCACAGAATGGCAGTGGTTGGAAGGGACCTCTGTGGATGATCTAGTCCAACCTGTTGCTTTGCAAAACTGTACTCTGTTTCTCCCTCCCCATTCACTACAAGTCACATCTTTACTTCTTGTTTCTGTACTCAGAAGGCTGGAGTGTTACAGGTCCAACAGAAAAAACTATTTGAACCCAAAATTAAAGCCTCACTGTTCTGTTAATGCAGAGATAGAAAAGACGCATTTCAATTTATCCAACGGTATTATGCATTGCATTCTGTGCTGAAGACTGTGGAACACAGCTTTATCCCCTGAACACATATAAAGAATGCCAATAAATAGGCATTTTAAATTAAAGAATTGAATAAGAAACCAACCCCAAACACACACAGAAGAAAAAAGAAAAAAAAAAAAGCATGGCTTCAGGTAGAAATGTGTTACTGTTGAATTCTGGCTTACAAACACAGGAACAATACAAGGTAGGTGTACGTCCAACAGCTTGGTCTCCCACTGAGCCAGAGGCATGGCACAACTACAAACCAACACAGGCTTCAGCACACTTCAAACCTCTCCCCCTCGAATCTTCTTTTTCGTCTTCACAGCGTTCCACAATGAAAATAACACGCCGAACAAAACGCCACTGATGAGACCTTGAAATACGCGTTTGAACTGCCAAGCAGAGGTGCTTTAATGCAGGGAACAGACAGTAAATTTCTATACGAATTAAAAAAAAAAAAGAAAACCCCAGTGGTTGCATATATGACTTTAAAACACACACTGGTACCGCAGAGCTGCCTCCTCACC